AGGATGGCTTTATCCTGCAGGGAGGAGGCAGCAGCAGGTGGGAATGGGGCCCAGCTGGGATCAGTTTAGTTTCCCCAGCACTAGGCAGCTCACTAAAACCTTCAGTCACTGCTCAAACAGACCATGCACCACCTGGGCTCCCACTGTGGTAGTGCAGAGCAGCTGGGAGCCCAAGGGGACACCCAGCATGGGGGTCCAAATCCCCCCAAACTCAACAGTTTTGCCTTCAAAACTAGGCTCTGTTTTGGGTGGGCACCTCCATCCACAGCCTTGGCACCCAAGACACATCCATGCACCTCCAGAGGTGTGATGGAGATTTCCCAGTCACCCCAAATCCCCTTGTGACCCTTGTTCCAGGGTAGGAGGGCCTGGCTGGCAGTACCCACCTCCAGCACATGGTGGGGTGAGACACTGCTAGGGCAGGAGCCCCACGTCCCAGGATCCATCGTCAGCTGGAAGACAGGGAGGTGGTGGGCATGGGGCAAGACGACCAGGAGGAGAGGGGAAGGGGACACTGCGGGGGCTGCTCAGCCCCATCACCAGATGGGAAGGGACATTTTTACCATGTCCTCCTTGTCAAACTCTGCCCAGCAAGCACCAATCCTGCTGTCCAGCACTGCCGAGTCCTGGCTCTGCAAGGAAAGAAGAGTTACAGGTCTGTCTCCCTCCCCCAGTGCCCTCTGTGGGGCAGGACCCACAGGAGTGGGGATGAAGGGGGGAGCAGGGGGACCCCCCCTCCGCTCACGCGTCACCTCCAGCGTGGGTTTGCTCTGCACGGCTCTCATCACTGCCGGGTCTCCTAGGTCATTGGGCTCCTCACAGGGCTCCTGCTCTTCAGTCCCCAGCTCCTCCTCCTCTTCCTCCAACTCAGAGCCAACCTGCTCCGCCTCCAGCTCTGTCCCACCTTCCTCCTGGGGCTCTCCCAGCTTCTCTGGCTGCTCAGCCGCTCCAGGCCCCGGTTCATCCCCGACTTCAGTCTCCTCTGCCACCACTGGGCTCGTCTTCCGTGGCACCAGGAGTTTTGGGGTGTCCTCTGTGGAGTCTTGGTCTTGGAACGGGCAAGCAGAGCAGAGCAGGGTGTGTGAGTGCCTGGGCAGTGCCCACGGGGGTCCCTGCTTCCCCCTTTGGGGGCTGGCTGATCTCTCCGATACTGGGGCTCCCCTGAGGTCTTACCTAACCCAAAAGTCATCTCGTTGTACAAGTCGAGCTCCTCATCCTCCTCAGCCATTTCCAGTAGAGGCGCATCTTCCACCAGCAAGAAGTCCTCGAGGATCTGGAATGGGAAGCAGCAGGGTCCTCGCTAAGGGAGAGGTAACCTTAACACGCTCTCAAAGTGGGGGGGTCACCAACCTCCTCCCCACCCCGCTGGTGGTGCCAGGCAGCCCCAACGGCTCCCAGCTGGAAAAGGGAAGAACGGGAGCCACTGGCACTGCCAGCGAGGGCAGGACCCGCAGGCGCAGCCCGCCGGGACAGTGGGATACCGGTACGGAACGGCACCAGCCCGGCTGGCGCTGAGACACACTGGGCTTCAGGGGGAACACCCCGCCCGCTACGAGGACACGAAAAGCAGGCGAGCACAAGGCAGGGACGAGCACCGCACCGGCACCCCCAGAGCAGTGTCTGCTCCGGCACCGACCGCTGCGGGGAGAGCCAGCCC